GTCTGTGCACGTTTGTTTGTTAGAAAAACATCTCATGAATTGATGGACAGATTTGAAAAAAAAACAATCTTTACAAACACAAAACTGGCTTTAATGTAGCCGGCTTTACAGAAGCCGTGTTTGATGTGGTAGTTGAGAGTCATCCCAAACGCAACACACCGTGACTCTAACTATTGGAGTCAAATGCATCTGTCTGTTAGCTAAATATCTCATGAACATGGGCAGATTTTAATGTAACTCACAGAAAGTCATACGGGACGTACAGCTACAGAGTCAACCCAGTTCAAGATGGCCGCCACAGCCAACTAACATATACGACAAAACTGGCTATGATTTAGCCTGTTTTACAGATACTGAGCTAAAATTTAGTTCCGTAGCTGAGATTTGAACAAACGCACCATTTCTCGTAACAGATTCTTTCTTTAGATTTCCAGCATGGAAGCTGGCGGGCGACATGCATTCCTTTAAAGAACGCTGGACCTTTCGTCTTGCTGAAGACGACTTGATCTATTTAAGGGGCTTTGATACCAAACAGAGTTATGATCTCATATTTATAGAAAGAAGTGGTTTTATCAGGACACTGTGGAGCTGAAACACTGGCTGCTTATCATGTGTGGGTCCAACACGGCCATATTTGTCTGTCCCGTTCCCTCTGTAATGATCTCCTCATCTGATTAGAGGGTATCTCCTATAATCATCAGAATAATCATCCGGCGAGCCATGCATCTTTTCATTATCTAACCGTTGCATTGGTTGCGTGCGTCTGTTGGTTCTTCCATCCAGCCCACCTGACTGCTCATTTATCGTGCTGACCTCTGCTGTTCTGACCCAACTCAAGCCCACGAGCAGGTCTGCGGTTTGAGCGAGGCGATCAGGATGGGCTCTTTCTGCCGTGCACGGAGACGGCCTGCGGTTGTAGACTTACGTAACGAGGCTTTAGCTGCCGTTCTGCGAGCAGTGCTTTTATGTCGGAGCGCGTTTCTGGTTTTAGAAGCGTGTTTCGTTAACGGTGAATCGAATCCGATTTCATGTTGATTCAAATCGGTTCACAAACGAATGTCCTTCAGGTGAATTATTGTACTTTTATGGCAATCTATTGAAAAAATATTTAAAAAAAAACAAGCACGGTGAAACTATTTTTATAAAATGATCATTACAAAAGTTTTATATCGTATCAACGAAAAACTGTGAACAAATATGCATTAGGCATCAAGTGGCTGATTAAGAGATGGAAATAATGTTTTTATGGTCAAATACAAGTTTTATTATCGCCTGTCACCATGGAAGGCTGGCAGTCATACTGCTTGTGTGTGTTTGTATGTAAAATATATTGTGAACTACTGGATAAACTGTAAATGAACTTTCAGGAAGTAATCACTGGATAATTGTGTAAAACTAATTAACCTTTGGTGGATTCAAAACAGCTAACGAGCCTTCACAAACACTAAAATGGCTACAACTCAGTGGAGTCAAGCTAAAACTGGGTGTGGTAGTAGCTGAGAGTCACTCCTTTAATGTTCTAGGAAAATTCTAGTTGTGTTCATTTATTACCTCAGCCAAGGAGGTTCTGTTTTCGGTAGCGTTGGTTCCACAGTCCGTCTGATCAAAACGTTCTGGAGGGATTTTCATGAACGTGTCAGGAGACGTTGAGGTTGTCACTTAAAGAGGTTTGGTGGTGATCCGGATCACCATCCGGATCCAGGATTGTTTTAAAGTTACTGCGTGAGGGAGGGTCTTAGTGGAGGTGTGTGCTCTCCACTTCCAGTATTTGAACTTGTTATCAATTTCCAGTGGATTTGTTTAATTAATACTCAGTACTTCTGAATATTTAACTCAAATGATGAGACATAAATAAACTATCCATCAGAAAATACGTCATTAAAGTACCACTTTACAATCAGCGTTCCTTTGTAAAACTATAATTTATTCTTTATAAATGTGATATTAGAGCGTTTGTTAACACTTTATAAACTGTTAATAAGAAGATATATGAAATAAAAATAAAGCAGGTTGACTGTCTGCTAAGATCAAATGCTGTGATTTACCGTATTTTTCAGACTATAAGGCAAATTTAAAATCCTTAAATTTTCTCAAAAATCACCAGTGAGCATTATGTGTTAATTCTGGTTGTGCTTACGGACCTCAAAGTGATTTTATCAGGTCTCTCTTGTAAATGAGTCCCCGAGGCTCACTCGAATTAACCTGTAAATAAAGGTTAAATGAATGAATGTGGTACATGGTGCTCAAAAATCTGTCAAAATGTTTTAGTTTTGCTTAATGCACCTTATAATTCGAAAAATACGTTATTTGTTCTGGTTTTTTTTTAGCTATAGTTGTAGTGTTTATTTATTTCTCCGCAAACTAAAGAACTTTTTAATGACCAAACAAACATATCTACAAATACTTATACAGTATGTATTTAACTTACTGATTGAACGTTTAATAATTAAAATCTAATTTATATTTTAAAAAATGCAGTTAACAAATGAAGAGTGAATGTTGGTTCATTATTTTGGGAACATACAAGTGAGAATATAAATGCTAATTCATAGTTTAGTAAATGTTTTCAGTTTAATTCGTAACTGCACTGATAACTATTAATTAACAATTTATAAGTGAACCATCACTGTAAAATGGAAGCATTTAAGTTTTAAAATAATGAAACAAACTTTACACAAAATTAAAATGTTTGCTGTTCATGCAGAGGGAGACGAATTGTTCCAAGCAACCGAGACTTTTACATCAGCCGAATCTTGTTTTATGCTATGTTTTATATCAAGTTAAGGTAAACATGTGACTTAGATGCCCGAGTTACGTCAGTGACAATTTTAAAATGAAAAGAATAAATAAAAACTGTAGCAAGCGTTTACTTTCTGACTGTGCTCCAACATTTCTGTATTTTAATTTCAACGTTCATTAAAATGTGTTGTGTCCAATAAACTCTGGGTGATTCTGACCAACAGGTCCGTGTGTTTGGTTACACATCAAGCTTTACATTTAATGTCAAACACTGAGCTACCGTGGTACCTTCACGGTCCAAAAACTAAAGCATCCACATGTCTCTACCCATTAAACTGACCCAGCCAGGGTCACCTGGGTCCGTTTGGGCCGCTGGTTCACCTTTCAATGCACGGCCCCCAAAAGAGCCGGGACAGGAACTCACAACACAAAGTGCTGGTGGTTGAAGTATTCAGGCCAGGTAAACAATGATTGTCCATAGAAACCTGATTTTACAAGTTGTAATGCGAAAAACACATTATTTTATTTCTGTACCTCTGTGGTGAGAGCAGGAAATGCATCTAGCATAAAACAAATCTTTCATGCAGGTCGGCTCGCTGTGGCGGCTCCTGCAGAAGGAGCAGCCGAAAGAACGTTTTTAGATCATGTTGAGCCCCCGGAGTTGATGCTTGATAATCGGTCCCAACTCAATCTTCAGGAGAAGCTTCTTCTTCTTCTTCTTCTGTCGGCTTTTCTCTCTTCAGGGGTCACCACAGCGAATCATCCTCCTCCACCTCACTCTGTCCTCTGCATCCTCTGTCCTCGCTCCAACTACCTCCATGTCCTCTCTAACTGCATCCATATATCTCCTTTGTCCTTTTCCTGGCAGCTGCATTTCTAACATCCTTCTACCAGTATACCACTGTCCCTCCACTGGACATGTCCAAACCACCTCAGTCTGGTCTCTCTAACTTTATCTCCCAGTGTTTCCACCTGTGCTGTACCTCTGATGATCTCATTCTTGATCTTATCCTTGTCACTCCTAAGAAGAACCTCAACATCTTCCTTTCTGCCACTTCCAATTCTTTCTCCTGTATTTTTGTCCATGTCTCTGTCTCCAGACCATATAACATAGCTGGTCTTTGTCCTCTGTGTCCTCTGTCCTCATTCCAACTACGGTGCCTCCATGTTCTCTCTAACTGCATCCATATATCTCCTCTTTTTCCTAGAAGCTGCATTTCTAACATCATTTTACCATACCCACTGTCCCTCCTCTTATGTCCAAACCATCTCAGTCTGGCCTCTCTTAACTTTTATACTTTCCAAAAAAGATTATATTTTCTCACATGATAACTAACATCTCTTTACCTCTTTTAAAAACATTGTTCCTCTTGAAATCTGCTTCAGCTACTAGCTGTTCTTTTTAAGCTAATTTGAGTTTGTAGCCCCCTTTCTGCTACTTTTAGCACGTTTTGATAATTTTAGTTACATTTAGCTACTTTTAGCTATCCTTTAGCTTATGTTTTACTACCTTTAGTTTCCGTTTAGCTACTTTTAATTAGTCTTCTGATTCTTTTAGCATGACAACTCCATTTCAGCTTCTTCAGCAGTGTTCAGCTGTCATTCAGCACTCTGTGTTTGTTTCTCTAATTTTTGCCCTCGACTATTTCGGCTGAATCTCGACCGGAATTGAAGACCTCTGCAATGTTTTCTTGTGCAGCCAAGCCGAGGGTTTATGTTTCTTTGGAAAAAATATTTTAAATAAATGTAGTTGAGGTTTGGGACGGCACGGTGGTGCAGTGGTTAAAGCTGTCACCGCTCTGCCTGTCTGGGTGGAGTTATGTTCTCCTCATGGGTTTTTTCCGGGTACTCCGGTAAAGTGGTGACTCTAAATTGTTCCTCAGTGTGAGTGAGAGCGTGAATGATTGTGAGTCTATGAGTCCCTGCGATGGACACAAGACCTGTCCAGGTGTCCCTCGTCTCTCGCACAGTGACTGCTGGAGACAGACACCAGCTCTCTGTGACCCACAAAGGAGAAATAGCTAAAGAAAATGGATGGATGGGTCGTTGATATTAAATTTGAATTCCAAAGCTGCCCTGAAATAACCTCTTGTTTCTGTGTGAGTCGTGGGACAGGAGAGGACCCGAAAAGACTCGTAAAGACATTCCTCCCACTGCGCGTCTGGATGCGGCCTGTCAATCACTCTAAGATGTCTAAAATTCACACATCGTCACATGCGTTCACCCACAAACCATCAAAACACCCACAGTGCATCTGTCCTCTAGTTCTTACCTCCATCTGAGTACGTCTCGGTCCCATATCCGTCCTGCAGCCCGTTGTTCCATGTCCCCTCGTACTTCCCGCTCGTCCCGGTGCTCTCCCGGACACCATAGCGTCCTTTGAAGCCGTGCGTCCACTCACCCTTGTACACCCACCGGCCTTTGTTCTCCACCCCCAGGCCATGTCTCTTCCCCTGTGCCCAGGTGCCCTGGTAGGTGTTCCCGCTGGGCCACGTGTAGACGCCCAGCAGTTCAAATCCGTGGGCCCAGGAGCCGCAGTACTCGCCCTGGCCCTTGGGTCCAGTACAGATCCCAAAGCCATGCGCCTTGCCCTCCTCCCACCCTCCGCAGTATGACCCCCCATCGTCAAAGTTGAACCTGCCGCCAGTGGACATGCATGTAACAGGTCTTGGCAATTCCCCTGAAGCCTCAACAAAAAGAAAAAGAAAAGAAAAAGAAAAGAAAGGGAGCGAAAAGAAGGACAGTTTGATTGTACGGGCAACCCACGGAGCCGAGCCTGCAGGTTGGAGAGGTGAGGGGTGAGGAGGCAGGAGTGGGAGGGAGAGAACTCCCACACAAACTGACAAATGCCACCTCTGGTTTCCAACAAGATCAGAGCAGTAGAAGGAGAACTACGAAACGTGGGCCCTCACTGCTGCGTCAGGGGGAACAGTGGCGAGGCGTTCACACCATTCTCCCAGCGGGCTCGCACGAGCTTCAGCTTCTGTGTAGCTCCTGCAGTTGACCGAGGAGCAAAGCAGGGCCTGAAGCTGCCATTATTCTTCCTGAGCTGGAGTTTCGACCATCAGGCAGCTCCGCCGGCCTCCTACACAGTCGTCGACGCTGACTCTTCCTCCTACTCTCTCCTGCTCCTCGCTCAGGCCCACTTATCCTCCTGCCTCCTACTTGATGATGCCTCCACCTCTCTGGGGTGCAGAGCTGAGTAGCTCCCTGCAACCCTTAAATCACCAGCGAGGGCCCTCCGCATAAAACAAAAATGATTATCCGTCAGACTCAGTGATCACTTTGAACCTCTCCATCACCGTCACATATATGTGCTGTGCTCATACATGCAAAAAGCAGAGGGAGTAAAAACGTCAGAAAAAAAACCCTACAAGATGTTGCTGTTTTTTTATCCTCCGTTCGGCGATGGAGCAGCAATGCAGTCTCCTTCCTCCTGCAGACACACACACTGAAAATAAACAAGTGAACAGATTAATTTCTGCTCTCCTCTCCCTCTCTCTGCAGGTCTTTAATCCACTGGGTCCATAAGTGGTTTATCTTCTGCGCGCGCTGCCTTCAGGTCGGCGGTTTGATGGAGCATCATTTCTCTGCACTCTGTCTGCTCCTGCTCGCCTCCATGTTTCCCTGTGGAGCTCCGGCTGACGCACAGCCTGCCTCGCCTCCTGCTGCCTGGCTCTCAGGTCTCTTCTGCCTCAGAAAACCTGTTCATTAGAGAGGACTGTTCCACTGCAGCTACTCCCCCACCCCCTCCGCTCTGCTCTCCTCAGTAGCACCATCCAGCTTTTAAAGAGACAGAGGCCTTCTGCCTCACCTGTGGATTGTTTTTTATCTGTAACATCACCTGTTATTTTATAGCACCAAAAATGAAACTGTGATGTTTTTACCTGTGTCTGTTAGCAAAATATTTAGTGAGCCACTGGTCAGATTTTAATGAAAGTCTGGAAGGAATCATTAAATCTACAGCTCAATGAGGGATTTTATCTACAGCTTCCACACAATTGATTTTAATTCTGTACGTTTTGTGCCATTTCAACAATTCATAATTCAGAATGTTCGGCTCATTTTGGACATTCCTGCTAGGACTTTTGGTTTTTGCACAGTTTTTATTTTTTAAAATAATAAAATATATTTTGAAATAATTAAGCTTTGTCATGTTTTTCTCTTTCAAAATGAATGGAGCTCTATTTTACTGCTCATTTCAGCTGTTGTTCTAATTCCGTTTTCTTTAGCTGCTTTGAGCTCATTTCAGCTGTTCTAGTTGTTTTCTTTAGCTGCTTTGAGCTAATTTCATCTGTTGTTCTTCAGTTTTCTTTAGTTTCTTTGAGCTCATTTCAGCTGCTGTTCTAGTTGTTTTCATTAGATGCTTTGAGCTCATTTCAGCTGTTGTTCTAGTTCAGTTTTCTTTAGCTGCTTTGAGCTCATTTCAACTGTTGGTCTAGTTCAGTTTTCTTTAGCTGCTTTAAGCTAATTTAGCTGTTGTTCTAGTTGTTTCCTTTGGCTGCTTTGAGCTCATTTCAGCTGTTGTTCTAGTTCAGTTTTTTTAGCTGCTTTGAGCTCATTTCAGCTGTTGTTCTAGTTCAGTTTTCTTTAGCTGATTTGAGTTCATTTCAGCTGTTGTTCTAGTTGTTTTTTTAGCTGCTTTGAGCTCATTTCAGCCCTTGTTCTAGTTCAGTTTTCTTTAGCTGCTTTGAGTTCATTTCAGCTGTTGTTCTAGTTGTTTTCTTTAGCTGCTTGGAGCTCATTTCATCTATTGTTCTTCAATTTTCTTTAGCTACTTTGAACTTATTTCAGCTGTTGTTCTAGCTGTTTTCTTTAGCTGCTTTGCTTAGCTGTTGTTCTAGTTCAGTTTTCTTTAGCTACTTCAAGCTCATTTCAGATGTTGTTCTAGTTGTTTTCTTTAGCTGAGTCCTTCAGCTCCTATATGCTCATTTCAGCTTCTGCTAATTTCAGCCTTTTCTTCTCCTTTTAGCTTCTGTTAAATTTATTTTCTCTACTGTAGCTACTCCTTAGGCATTATCTGCTCATTTTAGCCTTTTTGTTGCCAATTCCTACTTTTTATGCTCCTTTCAGCCTCTTGTGCTTTCAGCTTTTTTTTTTTTTTTAACCTCTACAGCTACTTTTTTGTTGCTAAGCCTTTCTCTACCTATTTCGGCTTTTTGGACACATTTCTGCTGCGTTCAGCTTTTATTTTCCTGTTTTCAGTGAATGTCAGCTGTTCAACTCACATCAACAGTTTAGTGATGAAACCTTTTCATCTGGTTTCAGCTTTTTCAGCAAAAATCATTCGTGAGGTGTTTTCTCTGGTTAACTTTTGAAGCTAACCCAATTTAAGATGGCCGCTGCAGCTAAGCAAGAAGAGCAGAAATGGCCCGTTTTTAAACATACTTAGGCTAAAATTTGGTGTGGTAGTAACTGAGAGTCATCCCAAAGTTATATTCTGAGCGCTAATGGATTGCCTGAAATGTTTGTTTTTTTTAATTTTGAGTTTCAACTGCTAACTGGATGTTAGCAAAATATCTCATGAATGACTGATAGATTTCACTGAAACTCTCAGGAAGGAATCATCAAATGTAAATCTACAACTTTGTAGTCAGCCTCATTCAAGATGGCCGCCACATCCAACCAATCATTGGAAACACAAACGTGGCTAGAACTCAGTTTTACAGATGAACTAAATGTTGATGTGGTAGTAGCTGAGAGTCACCTTCAACACATACACAGAGCACATCTTTGCCTGAAACACTGATGTTAACTGATGGTATCAGACTTGTTTGTTAGCGAAATATCTCGTGAACTACTTGATGGCTTTTAATAAAACTTGCAGAAAGTTGTCCTTGGATGTTTGTCTACAACTGAATCACTTTCTGAGTCAACTAAGTTCAACATGGCCGCCACAGCTCAATAACCTTAGCAAAAGCAGGTGCAAGTTTGCAGTGGTAGTAGCCGAGTCATTCCCAACACAAGCTGAGGCCTAATGACGTAGTTTGAAACTCGGGGGGTGAAAAGTTTCTTCAACAGATGCTCAATCTTAAATTGTTTTTATATTTTAGTTTGATTTTATCTAAACAATGTATAACTCCATCATCTTTACCCACTTCATCGTTTCCGGATCGCAGGGGTCTTCATGTGAGAGGCGGGGTCATATAAATTGACTTCTGAGGAGCCATTTTGAGGGACAATCTGAGCAATCTGTTCATACATAAACAGTTATCGCTGACCACGTCTGATTAACTTCAGACATTAAGGCCGGCTCTGAGCAGAAACCGAGTTTCGTGGCTTGAAAAAGTGTTAAAACGCAGACGGCACAGAAACAACAATCTTAAACCAGTTCTACTGGTTTGTTCCACTTTGGAGTAAGCTGTTTGGGGGAAGAATCAGTTTTGTGTTGTGTGTTTCCTTGACTGATGAAGCCTTCTGGATGGAAGGTGAAACGTTTCAGCAAAAAAAGAAACTGTCTAGATGACCTGACTGAAAATTGTTGTATACCTGGATTATTGAGCATGGACTTTTTTGGTGTAAGTTGGTAGTTGTTTGGCAAAACGTAACCTCTGTGGCTTTAATTGGGTTTGTTAAGATCCTGACTCAACTGGCTGCAGGTTTGATTCCAACCAGTGAACTTGTGATTTTCCCACCTGACCAACCTCTAAGAACATCTAATATTCTTGGCTTGTGGTTTGGAAAAATGGGAATCTATATTGATGAGTACGATCTCTTTATTCACAAGTCTTTTTGTCCCGTCGCTGAAATCAAACAAGGTTGCAGGAGACAAGACGAGCCTCGTTCCCATCCATCCTCTGTATTATTCATCAGCCTCTTCTCATCCCTCGCTCAGCGTTCTGACGGAGGATAAAATGGGTCACGGACGGATCAAACCGAGGATGTCTCTGCTCTCGTCTCCTCCGTCCATCACCCCCTGCTGGTTATGTCTTCCTCAAATACTCCTCATGTCCCCTCTTGTCTTCGGTTTGTCCTCGTCCTCTGTCTTCGGTTTGTCCTCGTCCTCTGAAAGAAGAATAAATCCAGACAAAGTGAGCGTGTTGCTACAAGCTGTCTGCAGGGACGGGGGCACAGAGTCACTATTCATGTCCTGCAAGGAGGGAGGAAGATCAAAGGGATCAGAACAAGAGGTTTTGTGAAGCAGCACCAATGTGACTTTATAACATTTGGATTAAATTCTTGCTTTCTTAACTTTATAGATTATTTAATCCACGGTCGTTCGCCACCAACTGATTTAACTTTTGGATTTAACCCAGTTAAAAATGGCTTCCACAGATAATCTACCTTAGTGGACAAAAATGTCTACAAGTGTCAGGTTTACAGATGAGCTGCGGTTCATCTATCCTCAACATAAAATCATTAAAGTTCGAGTCTGAAGCGAAGGGTGGCGAGCGATGTGCATTCCTTTACTGTTACTAAAATCAAAACTGAAACATGGTATACAGTCTGGTTTGTGGTAACCATGGCAACTTTATGAAGGGGCGTTGTCCTCATCGGTGAATTAAAAATGAAAGTGTTGTAAAATAAAATCTGTTTCTGCTTGTACAATTTCTAAAGCTTA